AAAAAATTGTTACAAACCTTACGGTATCCCTGGAATCTTTAGCTATGATTTGAATGTGTGTGATTTGGTCACTTTATGAAATCAATGGTCTGCATTACCTGACTTTTGGTATCTGAATTCTGGTAATTAGTTTATGCAAGAATTTAAGGTTAATTTGTCTATTTACTAATGGCCAATGGTGTTTTTTTTTTTTTTGGTGTTGCAGTAAAATTAAGCTAGAATTTGATTTACTAGATGCTGGTTCAGTTTTCCTAAAATGATTCGATAGATGGTGTATCTCAGCTGTGACACGGAATAAGCAACTTGCATGTGGAGTATAATTGCTCTGTAGGAAACCACAGAAACATCAACACTTATTTTCTAGATGCCATTACAGTTTTCATACAGGCCCTTTTTTATGTTTATTTATTTTTGAAACAAAAAAATAATTCTGAATGTCTCAGGCAGTAATATAGATAATCTAGATCAGGCATGTCAAACTCTGCACCTCCTCCAGATGTTGCTGAAAGTCCATGACTTTCTGGCCATCTGCAGCATTTAAAGAATTCTGAAGCCATCAACCTCAGGGGGATAAGGTGGGGAGCAAAGTTTGAGATCCCTGATGTAGGTTATATATATACTTTTTTCTAGTTTTGTTTTGACTTTTTATCCTGTCAAGTTTTTTATTTTTATTTTTATTGTGTTAGATTATGAAACATTTGTCACCATGGTTATAGACAAAAGTAGTAGACACTATTTGCTGGGTTCTACCATCAGAAAGAAAACTTTCTAAATCTGCACCTGGTATATAAACAGCATCAGAGGTCTGTAACACCATTCTATTTATTATGGATCATTTTGGTAAGCTCAACCTCTCCTACAATTTGCTAGACCAGGCATAGGCAACCTTCGGCACTCCAGATGTTTTGAACTACACCTCCCATGATGATTTGCCAGCATTATGGGTGTAAGAGAATTATGGGGTATGTAGTCCACAACATCTGGAGTGCCGAAGGTTGACTATCCCTGTGCTAGACAGTCACCATTGTCGGACCAGTAGTAGGCAATTAATGTGGTCTCATATCATGTACCATTTAGGGCCTTCCTTAATTAAATACTTTATGAACTTTCTGCTGACTCATTCATAATTTGACAGGTACTCCATAATATGTATTCTTAATAATTTCTTAGTCTCTCAAAGGAGGAACAGAAAAAACAATATTTAGACAAACATTATAGGAGGTAGCAAAATATGGATAGATTAAACCAGACATTGCATGATTATATTTTTTGTTAAATAATATTTGTCATAATGTTTCATTAATTACACATACTTGACCTATGCCAAGGAACGTAAGACACTAAACTGCAAAATAGCTAGATGTCCCCAGTGACAAGGAAAAAAATGTTTCGAAATGTTTGATGATGGGGTCAGATAAATTACTTGTGGATGATAAATTAATCACTTTAGGCTCTAAAATCTCAGCTGGTGTTTAGTCTGTTTAATAATTAAGATTGCTAATTATCATTGCATGTTCTGTACAATATTAATAATAGTAGGAAATAGAGCAGTGGGTAAAAACAACATTAAAGCAAACTCATATATACATATATAACTATGTATCTAGTAGATACTTTTTGTGATACATCTACACCCCTTTTTACCACCCCCTCCAGAGATATATTGTGACTACATGTTTATGTAGCCATATTGAGATGAAGTGGGCTTTGTTACATGTGCCATAAAAAGCCATTATAAGACAAGGACACTGTCTAAAAAAGATGTACATGATCTTTAACTATTCTTAAGTAAGCTGTGACATTTAAAAGAACAGTAGAAGCACAACTTTTGTCATGCTGAATATAGTGGCTATAGAGGTTATGTTGCAAGAAGTCTCTGGGCATCATAAAAATACATTACTAATATCAAAACTGCCCTCCCACCCTGTACACTGTTAGCCAACAATCGCCATCTAGTTTAGACAGAATTAATATTGGATGCGAAAATGTAAATTCTGCATTATTAATTTGCCTGAAGAGGGAAATGGCTATGTGTGCCAAGAAAAGTATTGATTTTTGTCAAACCACTCTAAAAAATTATAGGCTGAACCTACATGTTTACACCTTAACCAATATATATAAATATTGTACATACATAAAACTAAAGAACTTTCATTAATTGTTCAGTATTATGATTACATTATATTTATAGCAGCTCAAATACTGAAATTCACGTATACGTATACGTTTACGTGCACACACTATATACAATCTAAACCTTAAATGTAGTGTAAAACCTTTTAACTAGAGTGCTTTGGGGCAAAAAAGTATACAATATAAATATAAGTGCACTAGTATAATAAAATAATATACTGTTATTTCACGAAGCAACCAACAGTGCTTGGCATCTACGAGAACACTTTAACATTAAAATAACAACAACAAAAAATGGTGCACAAACAATAATTTAGTGTATACTTATACATTGGACACAATATTCTTTAAACCTGAAAAATAAAAATAACAGACATATAGTGTATTAACGTAAAAAAGTTCTTCCAAACAGTAACCATTATTGATAAACTCACAAGGCAGGAATGAATATGTGCCACTCAAACTGCTTAGCACAGAGTATCAAGCCCTTGAGACCTTTGGAACATAGGGAATACAATCAGATCTACAAGGGCCTCAGGATCAACCAAAGTTTGGATTCAAATGACATAACATGCCAATAAAATGTATTTATGTAGTTATAAAATATTTTCCCAGGAAGGATACATTGGGATTGCTCTCATTTTCAAGTTTCTCCTGGGTCCACAAAACATTGCATTGTTACAATGGTATACAATATTACAAAAAATACAATATCCAAACAATATATATAAATTGGCATAATAATGACTGTTCTCCTCAGGTTGCTGGATGCTGATGTCACTGCAACTAGTTTCGCCCCTTGAAATTAGGCTTTCTCAAGTGTAAACAATCGTCCTGTGAAAGATTTAGACCCTGACAATAATCATCACAATACCTTTTTCTCATTAACTCTACAATATCAATAAATTCACAGATGTGTATGATGTCTTATAGCACTCTAAGTATTTAAAAAACTGCCTCACCAAGAAAAGTATAATGCCAACATACCTAATATCTTATATCAACCATAAAGAGAAACACATTGGGAGAACATTGCTGTCAACATAGTCATAATGTTGGCAACATTAAACTTAGAGGGAATAATGTGAGTTAAAACAAATGTATGATTTCTTGATAATAAACACTTACATTACCTGGTTACATGGTTACATAGCTGAAAAGAGACTTGTGTTCATCAAGTTCAGCTTTCCTCACATATGTTTTTGCTGTTGATCCAAAAGAAGGCAAAAAACCCAGTCTGAAGCATTTCCAATTGTGCAACAAACTAGGAAAAAATTCCTTCTTGACCCCAAAATGGCAGTTAGATATCTCCTTGTATCAAGCAGCTATTACCCCACTAATTAGAAATAATATCCCTGTATGTTATGTTTTTGGAAGTATTTATCCAAATGCTGTTTAAACATCTGTATGGACTCTGATAAAAACACCACTTCAGGCAGAGAATTTCATATCCTTATAGTTCTTACATTAAAAAAATCCTTTTCTTTGCCTTAGATTAAATCTCCTTTCTTCCAGCCTAAATGCGTGACCTCGTGTCCTATGTATCGCCCTGATTACGAATAGATTTCCAGATAATGGTTTGTAATGGCCACAAATATATTAGTATAATGTTATCATATCCCTCTGAGGCGCCGTTTTTCCAAACTAAAGAGATATCAATTTTTAACCTTTCTTCATAACTAAAATGCTCTATTCCTTTTATCAATTTTGTAGCTCATCTTTGCACCTTTTCTAGTGCCATGATGTCCTTCTTTAGAATAGGTGCCCAAAATTGCACAGCATATTCAAGGTGTGGTCTTACCAGTGATTTATAAAGAGGCAAAATTATATTTTCATCCCGAGAATTTATGCCCCTATTTATACATGACAAAACCTTACTGGCCTTAGCAACTGCAGATTGACATTGCATATTGCTGCCTAAATTGTTGTCTATAACAATTCCTAAATCCTTCTCATGTGTGCTTAGCTCTAATTCTCTACCATTTAGGGTGTAAGTTGCTTGTGCATTATTAATCCATAAACCTGGAAAAGCTGAATTTGTATTTTCTAACTCATATTTTATCATATGAGGTTTTTTTTATTTTATAACTCATGTAATAAAATGTCACCAAATTTAATACTATTGTTGTTTTGCTTCCTTCAGGAATTTTATCAGCCATGGGTCACTTATTATTATCTAACAAAGGCTTCTCCTACTGTCCGATTCACAATCACAGCTAAATTGATGTCATAAAAATTGACTCTAAACTCTAACATAAAAAAATATAATTTAAATTTTATTTATTGCTAAGATGATTGTAAAATTTATCATATTTTTGTATAAACTCCTTACAGTTCTTGATACACTTCTATTTAGAGAACACCCCAAGCCAAATGGGATTTTGTAAAACAAAAACATACCGGAATACAAATGAATACAAAGTTTAATTTTTTATTTTATTTTTATTTAATTTGAGTAAATAACTACCTCTGTAATGTAGAAAGCTTATTTGAATATGATCCTCATTCATAAATTACCCCCAAAATTTGGTACTTTGTATAGTAATAAAGCCTGCATAGATGGGGGGGGCGGAGCTTAGTGCCAGAGTCAGACACATCCTCCCGTAGCTCTGGGCAATAACTGACTAATTGAAACTAATCTGGAGTACCCCACAGCCATCAGACCCCCAATCGACACCCCACACACCCAGAGAGGAGTGAACAATAGACCCATGCCTTTCCTATGCCGGAAAACGGGAAAGAAAGCTTGCAACACATCCGGGGCCTATTTAGCCACAAGAACCGCCACATGAGGCTTAGAGGCAGAGTTGGCAGAAATATACGGCAACTCGTGGCCGCCCGACCATTCCCCACAGCGCACAAATGATATGGGATGCAGATCCCAGAAACTGCAGCTGGGCCCCAGCAAAGAATCCCATGACATAGGGGATATGCTGCAGTGCCACACAGCCTCCAAAATGGCGGCCAGGCTGGAAAATGGGGCGAACAGACCAGAACCCTCAGCAGAACCGACTACACCTGGAGACACACTCACCTCTACAACACTCCTAGAGGCAATGGCAGACCAAGATCCACTAGCCCCTGCTACTAAACAGGATATTGCCAACCTCTTATGGGAGGTCAGGCAGATGTTGGTGGCCGACTTGCACGTAGTCCGTAACGAGGTGCAGGTGGTGAGTGCACGCACGCAGGCTAAAGAGGCTGTGGTCCAAGAGCTCAAGCAAGAGATGCAAGAGGTGAAAAACCAGATGCACAGCCTAACACACTCCCACACCTCCCTGACACAGAGAGTTGATCTCTCTGAAGACTGCAAGAGACATGCCAATATTAAACTTCGAGGTATCCCGGACACAATAGACCAGGCTGTACTGCCACATTATTTAAGACAGACTCACTCCTACCTCATTCTCAGGCCAAAAAAATTCAGCTAGAGGGCTGTTACAGAATAAACAACTCCCAACAGGCTCCATCCAATGCTACCCAAGAAGTAATTGTTCGCTACCACTCCGGACAGACAGGAACCGCATTCTAGCGGCAGTGAAGGGCAAAACGCCACTGGACTTTGAGAACTCCAAACCAACATTTTTTCTTGACCTCACCAGGAATACCCTACAATGGTGGAGGCCCATGAGTCGGAGTGGAGTATCGATGGACTCTACCGCGAGCCCTCACAGCTACAGCGACGGACGGCAGGGAGCTGAGACTCTCCTCCAAACTTGGATGAGCCCAACATCGTCTCCAACTCCCAGACCGAGATATCAAATCGAGTGAGACCCTCCACACTTAGAAGGAAAGAGAATCTGGGAGCAGCAAATGCGACCTGACCACCCGCCATGCCCAACGTTGCATCTTGTTAATTGAATTACTATTCCGATTTATAACTGTTATTTTAATTTCTTTTTTCTTTCTTTCTCTCTTCCCTCACCACTCCGCAAACACCACTAGCCATGACTAGGCCCAATACACTCACAGCCAAAGCCCCAGGATGGCCCATGAGGGCCGTAATAGAGCCCGGACACACGGGATGGAAACTAACTCTCCCCTCTCCCGGGACATTCCTCTACCTGTCACAACGATGGGTATCTAACTTACAAACAACGCTGTGACCGATAGCCTCACCTGACTCACACATACGACAACGTGACACATATGCCGGGATGGACCGCTCACAGACCAGCTTGAGATAGCACGCAGATCAGGCTTTCATACACCTATGTGGTACCTACAACAAACAAGAACAATAGACACCACACACAGCGCACGAACCCTACTGATACACACACGCAAAAAAAAAGTAAAAGAGGCCTGCTAATGTTGAATGTTTATAACTGTTCATGTAATCCTGATATGCGTTATCTAAATGCACTATCTGAAACCAAAAAACTTGTAAACTTTCCTCAATATAATAAAGATTGATAGCAAAAAAAGCCTGTTAAGATATTTCCACGAGAAAATGGATTGTGCAGCAAGTGTTAATGCCAGTCATAGATTTTGGGGATACAATTTATGCATCTGCAGTGCACACATATCTGACTAAACTCAACACTTTGTATAATTCATAATGTCACTTTGTTCTCCAGTGTGACTGCAGTACTCATCATTAAATGTTAAAATATTCCCTACCTCGTCACAGTCCTGGGGAGATTTTGGTTCCCCCCACAAGTCATATCTCTGGTAACTGCGCTGTACTCACATCCATCAGCACAAGTGGTTAATTGTGGTTTCACGTCTCGCAGTTTTACAATTTCTAACGGCTCAAGTTAAGGCTGCCCACTCACCCCAATACTGTATATTTTGGCATTGGAACCTCTGGCTCAATTAATTAGGGACAATCCCAATATACATGGAATCAAGAGCAATGAGTATAAATTAACCCTATTCGTAGACAATATTTTACTCACACTACAACAACCTAATATCTCCCTTCCCAATCTCCACGACATCCTCTTGTTGTATAGCAAATGCTCGTATTATAAGCTAAACATCTCAAAAACGAAAGCCATGGGTATCAATATCCCAAAACACACATTATATACCTTAAAATGCACTTTCACGTATGAATAGAGTAGCCCTGACACTACAGCCCTCCGGCCTTTACAAGGCTAACTATCATACTTTGCCAAACGATATAAACACCCAACTACAAGATTGGAAGGGACAATTAATCTCATAGGCAGGCAGGATAGCAGCAACAAAAAGGCTAATTATCCCAAAATTCCAATACTTGTTTCGAACACTACCACTTAAACTGCCCACTTGTTATCTGGAACAACTCCAAACCCACAGTAGCGAAAGCTACCCTGTACAAATCTTTTTCACCAGGCGGAATGGGACTACCCGACATCACGGGCCACCACAGAGCAGCAATAATCAGCCTGATTTTGTCAGCAAGTAGCCACCCAAGGCCCCCTCACTGGCTTCATATTGAATCAGGCTCGCATGGATGTCTAGGAAGCTAAGACCGAAATACAAATATATGCTCCCCATAACTGAACTCACACTCCACTTATGGGATAAATTCAAGGAAAGGCATGCCTTAAACGAGGGGACCTCACTAGCTCTCCAGATTTTAACTATAAATTATGGCACAGACACGGCACCACACACCTCTACCACATTTTCCAAGGGCCTAGCTTGAAATGCTTAGATGATATGCAGAAACAATATGGGTTGCCCAATACGGCAAAACCAGGGCTCCACTCAGGCTTTGATGCTGGTCGTGCAAAAACATGATCTAGCATCCTCACTCAATACCTAAGTCCCTTTGCTTGTCTGTGACACTTCCTCCTCCTCCCAACTGCCTCTACTGACTAGAATTCTTAGACACCAAGAAGCTATCTTAACTACAACCTGGTGATGACCTGATGAAACCGCTGAGCTGTGTTCCCCCCCTTTTTCTTCTCCCCCCCTTCTCCCACCGTTTCCCCCATGTTGACTTTCTGTTACATTTTTTCTAATGTTCTAATGTTAATTGTGCAACTTCAAACTGTGTAAAACGTGCAACCCACAATTCTCAGAGTCTTACATGTTACACCAATAAATGTACATTTCGATGAACAATGTTATTCATCCTCACTTTGTTGACTCAATGCTATGTAAAACTTGTGCACTACTGCACTGTAAATTGCTAATAAAAAATAAAAAAAAATAAACATGGACTTCAAGGGAGAATAACCTATTTCCATTTTGACTGTAGGGAAATAAATAATCCTTATTTAAAAAATGTAAGCCCTAACTGTAGAATTTCAAAGAGAGAGATCTAGATAATCACCTTGATTTAAAGATTAGCATTTACTAACAATTCCTGTCTTGTCCATATACTGTAAGTAAATCAATGCTTTGACATTAAATGACTTAGCAAGTAAATAAATCAATTACTAAAAGAAAGGGGTTTTTAAGCAATTAGATGCATCAATATATTTTAATTGTGGACAAAGTTGTACCATGGGACCATCCATGTGTCACAACTAATTTTATGCATTTATAAATTTGCCACATGGGTCTACAGAGGAACATGTGGTGAAATATTTAACATGTTTATCAAAGCCATACATTTCATGTAATCCCTAGAGAAATATATTGTAATTATTTAATTACATTTGAACAGTTTTTCTCCAATTGTTGTTGCTATATACAAGAAATTTAAATATGAGAATAAAGGATAATAGCATGTCTTCGGGAATTAAATGTTCTGTTCTGTTCTTTTCTGGCTATCCCTGCTTAACTACAGGTGAGTTAATCATTTCCCATAACTAATTTAGATCCATTTGTGTTTTTTGAGGGATATCTAGTACTTCAGACCAAGAAGTCAAAGGTCTCATTTGAACCATGGTAACATCCCCTTAGCATGGTAAAATCCCCTATTGACTGATAAGCTGTGTTTGGTGCTTCAAGTAACACATATGAATGGTGAGTGGATTTGAATTTGCACATTTAGCCAAGATCCAGTACTCCCATCATTGAAATTACTGGTTACTCAAATGTGGAAAGTGGAATTAGGTATCCGTACCTGCAGGGTCTGAAATCAGGTCTCAATACCTTCTCCCCAACCTGATTACACATTGAGTAATATCATCAATGGCCATGTGTTTATGGAATAATGTGCCAATCACTGCAAGGTACATGACAGCCTTTCTTAATACCACTCAGTATCACATGGAAATATCCCCTCTCATTTTGCAATCACACAGTTCTCAGAGAGTACTCTGTACTGTATATCCTGGTTAAATCCATCTGCTGATTAAGATGGTTAATGCTTGTTTGGGATTAGTGGTTGGGTAAGGGTAAGGGTGGCATAGATTTAGGGGATTTAGGGTTTTGGAACTTAGAGTTTCTTATGGGACTTTTGTTTAGGTAGCATTTATGGTTGTGGCATTTTTTAAAGGTTACCTGTGATTAAATCCAATCCTTCGACATCATCCTTAATAATCACTCTGTAACCTCCCTGATCCTAATCCTATAATTATGCTGAGATTACCTGAGTACATTGTTGTACCCTCTCTACCCCACCCCCTATTCATTACAGTTACATAATGTTACCACAAAATAATCAGATTTTCTGGTTTACTTTTTCAAATTGCATTTATGGAGTCATTTGTGCATGTGATCTGCTAAAATTCCCAAAACTATACACAAACTAAGCAATAATATTTAGGTTTGAAAACAGCATTAATTTTAAAATATTGCAATAGGCAGGTCTCTGATTTGGCTCTGCCAAGTTACAAAAAATAGAAAAATGTATTAACAGGGCATTGCTGCAAGACAGAAAATCTTTTTTATTTATATTATAGCACCAATCAGGGTACAATTGTTATGTGCATTTATAGTATACAAAGAAAATCACACAAATTATTCCACTACATCCAAAATATATATATATAATGTACATATGGAAAATGCAAAAAACATTAATACTACAAAAGGTTATGGCAGCAGTAAACTTGTATGTAGTTTATTTTTTGCAATTTATTGAAGGCAGCTATTTCATCCAACATAATGCAAGATGGATGCAAAGCCAGTGCAGCTGCATCTATAGCGTAAATACCCTTTGGTTAGCTATACATCTTTTATTCAATTTACATAAAAAAATAAAAGAAATGCAAATCAGAGTACAAAATGTAAATACAAAATATAAACAGTTAAGTGCTACAAAGTAAAAGTATTACAATATTGTGTAAACAAAATATTAGATGTCAGAGTTTCATTAATCATTGTTATTAATTATGGACAGGGTCGGACTGAGAGCCCATTGGGCTGACAATTACGATGGGCCTAATTACAGAATCTTATTGACAGAAGACATAAATTATTGGAATGCTGTTTGGGACAGAGAAAAGGTAGATGTAGTTAGTGTAGAAAGGGGGCATGTCATAGTGTTAGAGAGACCGAAGCAGCATGAGCATTTGCACAGTGTGCAAAGTGAGCTTTACAT